ATCTCGGCTTTCTTGCAAATTCAATGGGAATGTGTAATCTCATTTACTAAATAACAAGATATTCGCTCGATTTTGAAATCGATTTGGAAATCGATATTGCAAGTCATCATATTAATAGATTGAGCATTCTGTGCATGATATCTACACTAGATGCATTGAGTCAGTTGGCACGTTTGTGACTGTGTCCAAGGAATTTCAAACAAACAACTGGTAATTCCGAAATTGTGGTATTCGTCGTCGGTTTTATTTCTAAAATCATCATCTGTTCTTTTACAAGAATTTGTGAAAAACATACTCTTCCATTAATATATTCATCTTCGACAATGGAAGAAAAACAGCTCGAATACTCTGAGTGTCCTTTCGTGCACAAAACAAATGATTTTGCGGGCATGTCGCAGATTAATGAGTCAGTAGTACATTGCAATTGAATACTTTTAATATATATTCCTTCCGTACATAGTTGTTTTGCTTCCGTCACAAAATCCTTTCAGAAATCATCGACAGTTTTTAGTTTTTCTTCTCCGTAATATATGCCAATTACAAAAACATTTTTTAATAGTTTCACGCACCTCAATATAGGCCACAGCTGTTTTTGTGATGACTTTGACAATGGCAAACTGTCAATAGTGACAGATACTTTGATGAAACCTTCCGGCACAGTCGATATTTGAGATACAATAGATTTTATTCCCTTTGATAAGCCTACGTGACAATATTTTCCAGAAAGGACATTTCTTATTTTTGTATTCCTCGGCGTATTTAACAATGACTGCGGATCCGAAGGCAAATTTTCGTGAACAGAATATTTCTTCAATTTTTCTAGCAATGGCTTCAATGCAATGTGTGGGATATTAAACTAACTGATCAATTTGCAAGAAATTCTTTTAAATTATTTCGTTCTTCAATATTATCATCGCTTTCACTCTCAGTTGATGCATCTTGTGTAAAATCTTCGTTCACTTCGTTAATCCTATCCTGGTCTTCATCAACCATCTCTTCATCCCATTCTTCTTCTTCAATTTATTCTTTTTTTTCTTCTTCTATGTCATCCCTCTCTTCAACTTCTCGACTATTATACTCTTTCATAGCTTCAATACAATATTTTCAATACAATTGCTGTATTGATGAGTATTAAATATTGTGTGAGTATTATATAATGTGAATAGCTTTTCATATCTATCTATTTCCATATCTATCAGTATTTGTCTGTCTATTTGTTCGCAATTTACGATAGTAGAATTATATTGTGGTACATCATCCGAAAGCGATTCAAAATGTGAATCTATTATCATA